GTAGGGAAATTTGCTTGAGCCAGTGTTTAAGTTGACAGAAATGCTCTTGGAAGCAGATACTCGAGGGAATCTCATAAATGAACAAATAGACCCCTGCCACATTCTCCTAGTCAGACATTTAAAGCAACAAGACAGCACTAGAAAGCCCAAAAATCAAAGTACATTAAAAATATAAAGAAATACCATAATCATATTTGCATCGTCCAGCTCAACTTTAGTCAGGATCATTTTTTGCACGATACTTGCCAGAATCAGCCCCAAGCCCAATTTTATTTCATATAATGCAACCAGAACTGGTTGAACAATATCAGTGTACTCACGGTAATCATCTGACAATAGTTGTTCAATAAAACCGGTTGCCATTTTCTAAGATATACATAAGAAGCACATAACAAACAATTAGTAAGCCGAGAACAACACAAGATCTTTAAACAAGAATGAAAAGAATGATTATTATCAGCATCACATTACAAGTCAAGTAGAAGTATACCTGCCAGTTAGAGCCTTGGTCAAGAATCTGTTGTAAGTTAACGGCATCAACACTACCAACTAAAATTTCTGAGCATGTGACGTATTTGTAAAATGTATCAGACGTAACATGTTGAAAAAACTCATCAGATGTAACACGTTCAAGAAACTCATCACATTCATGTTTTAAGCCCTTAAATTTCCGGTAGTCAGAGCGGAAGACGATCTAGGCACCAATGAGAATAAGTTATCATCAGAAAAAAGAAAAAAAGAAAGCTAAAAGGAGAACCAGCTACTTGAATGGTATCCTATTCAGTCAAGCAAGTCAATAAAAGGTAACCAATGCATTCAAAAGAAGGCTGCACAAAACAAGCATTACAGGAGACAGCTGAAGTACAACAAGAAAGGCAACGGAGGATAGTAGCTAGAAAAATCTTCAAAAGAAGTTATAAAAAGTTAAAAACAAACCTAACCATAGGAATGAACATAACATGAAACAACACGACCATCTAAACAAAGAAAGAACATAAACATGAAAGTGAGATCTTCCTCCATACAATTAAAACTAAAAAAATTAAAATTCTATAGCAAGCCTGCATTACAATTCTGTATAATAAAATCACATAATTACAAGAGGAAATGGACAAGTAGTCCACCCGTACGAGATCCATTAAAACATAACAGAAGTGCAGTCGCATACAGTTGGGTGAATTTCTCTAATGTGAACTCCTAAAATGCTTAGATCGGAATAAAAATCATATCAACTCCTCTATAAGCTCGATTAAGTAGAGGGACCGTGAGCAAAGTCAGATTTGAAGGCAGTTGACCTTTTTTTTTCTCTGATATTTGTTTAGAAGGGAGTTGTAATTTAATTTCAGGTAGGATACCCAGCACTGTGTCTTGGGGTCTTTTTTCCTTTTCAAGTTGGCAGATATTTTCACATGGACTTCCGGTTGACCCTCACCCCTCACCAATGCAAAACCCCAAAGAGTGGCAGTCTTCTTGTATGCCCCACACCCAAAAAGACCTCAGCGAGCAAGAAATAGTGGTACAACAGCTAGTATGATTGGAAGGTTCACTTTTAGACATAAAGAAAACCCATGAATCCTGAACAATAAGTTCACCATTCATCTATCTCAACAGGCAACATTCGAATTGAAGTAAACTTCACTAATTATGCACAGCATAATTTTTGCACTGGAGAAGGTAACTACCAGAGATGCATTTCAGACAAAAAGTTACTCTACCAAAGTATACGAATTATCAAAATATAATGATCTAGTAACGGAACAAAAGTAAAATTGTTAAGACCTTTCTCTGCAGCCTTTTGTGCTCAGCTTCAAGCTTGTTCAATGCCTGAGCCCTTTTTTCATGAGAATATCTTGTAGAAATCTGCCCTGCCAAGTATTCGCATTTTTGCCGAACCTACCAGGAAAACAAAAATTCATTCAAGAGATATTCAGCTTTACTCTCCTTAAATCATCAAACAAAATTCATCTTGCAGTACAAAGAAGTTCAGAGTTCATTTGACATCAACCATAAATTGGCACATGCTTCATGCATGTTGATAAAGTACAGGGTAGAAAATTGAATGTTCAGGAACATATATTTATAACTAATATACAAACGTTAATAATGATTAGTACATTGCAAACCAAAGTTTCGAATGTTAAATATAATGATTTATTTAGTAGAATTGGCCCACAAATAAAACCCTCTTGTAGCATTGCGGTGGCTTCAAATCATTTTGATAATATCTTCTGAGAATTTTCACAGATTTTCCAACTACAGAGAGGGCTTATCTACATTCCATAGATTTCTCTTATTTGGGGTTTAACTGCTTTCGCCGCATTCTTTTAATAAGAAACACAAATCTTCCTTAAAAAATGAAACAGTACCAGATAAGTGAACAAGAAGTCTACTCGTACAAGAGAACTAAACACAAAATCTGAAGCACCACCTAAGGGGAACACATCAATACAAAACCTGAATTGCTTCCACCACATTATATGTGCTGCTGCACACACAGGCACACATAAGCACTATCTACAATTTTCTTCACAAGTGACAAACTTTCATTGGAAGAATACAAAAGATTAAAAAACACAAATATCTAGATTTGCATGCCAACCAATATGTGCTTGCACATACAAAGCAATTTGTAAGAAACAAAACAATTAGATCCATGAACACACATATCTAGATGTATATGCCAACCAATATGTCAGCAAAGATAGCAACAATTCCAGTACATCTTCACATTAATTTTTGTAACGACAACAATGCGCGATATTGAGATTATTGAAAAGCATTACAAAAACTTGAATACTTTGAAACTAGTCACCAATAGAAGAATATATTCAAGGAAGAAACCTGAATTTCAAGTTTTAGCAAAGATATCTTCTCTGCTAACAGTGAATTCTTGCAATGGTATTTCATGGCGGGATCCATATCATCACCGCAGAGCAATAGTTTAAGACGTAATATCCCAAGCCGCAGCCAAGCACACCCATGATTAAATCCAGGCTCTGAAACGTCCAGTCAACATTTAAATAGTAAATAAAAAATTGGAAATAATTTATAAACCAATATATAGTCTTACAAGGAAATAGAGAATTCTCATATTGAAAATGAATAAAATCGAAACCATATTCTGGATATGAGTGGATACATTCAGTATGAATTTTTTTAAAAAGTATTAGATTAGATTCCAACAGCATGAAACAGATAGGGTCACACGCCCCAAAAATGTATGCACAAAATAATTCATAAAGAAATTACCTTTAGATGTGCAATGAGGATAGAGGTTTTGAAGCAGTGGTTTGATAAACATATCCACCGAGTCTTTCAGCCCATGATGACTTGACTTCGAAATAAGAGATACCACAAGACCGCTTCCTTGCTGTCACAATAGCAAGGTACAATAGTGCAGTCAATATCTTATTATTTTTGGAAGATCATTGTGATCAGAAAACGTAGAAGAAATGGTATGATTAGACTATTATTTCTTCAGCACATATTGAGTAGCCATGCCAAGTAATCTGTCATCATCTCATGGTATACCACTTACAAACCACAATGTTTTATGACCCATTTCCAAGTAATGGCATTCTGAAAAGTAAATCATAACCTTACAGGAGAGGACTGACTATCAACAATATTCTGAATCTGACAAGTAACCCAACGTTATAATAGAGTGCCATGACCAATTTCCAAGAAGCACGTAATAGTTCAGCATATTATTCACTACTTACACAACTTATAACAACATACCTCTAAAACTGACTTGACTTTAGCGAATTGATCAGCATTAAAAGATTTCTCATGTGCATATATGATCTGCAAGCAGAGTATCATGTGAATAAATTTGTATTATACTTACCAAAAAACTTAGTCAACAACGCACATAAGTTACTCTACCTGCTGGAACAGAGAGCGAGCAGCGGAAAGTAGAAAAAAAGGTAAATTTGCTCCTGGCAGAGAGCCACGCCAAAGATTACATGATGCAACTCTAAGCTTCAGAGAGCTCACAAAATAATCCTTGATGGCAGGTGTGCTTTGCCTAATTTGATGGAAAGAGAGAGAGAGGAACATCATACATGAAAGACACATCTATGGGGACAGGAAACATAGCAATCGACACAAAAAACATACATAAATGTAAAACCCTATTCAACAATAACATTAAATTGCACCAAATTCAAACTTTACACTAAATCATTTATATTTTTTTCTTTTCATAAGAAGAAATACCTTATGCCTATAAATGTTGCAGTTACTCTTTAGTAAGACTTCAAACTGACAAAATCTACAAGTTCTATGGAATGATGACCAAACCTTTGAACCAACATTAAGACCATAAATATAGATGATCATCAAGAAGAAATTCTACCAAGATCCATTACAACAGACCAGGTGCCAAGAAGAAAACATTCAGTACTCATCTTTTTTTTTTTTAACTTCAACTTCTTAAATTTTTTAGAATCAGTAATACTTCGAAAAGAAACCAATGTCTTACAGTATCTGGAATACGGTTGCTGTTACCACCGGCTGAATGAGAACATCAGGTACTGGAATATCATAAACAGCAGTGCTTGAGAAGCTCTGTATGCAATTAGAGTAACATGAAAAAGGAAGTTCGTCAATGAAAACAAAATTTGAAATGGCAGAAAGTCCACAACACAAGATAAAAATAGATACCTTGACAGAAACAGGGCAATACATCCACAACGATTGATGCCACCTGAACCACATCTCAAGTACGAAGCTGGAAACTTTTTCATTGACTGCAACACAAGGAAAGACATAAGCATACTGATCTCCACACATCCAGTATCCACAGAATCTAACAGAATCTAACAGGTAGAAGAATTTAACAGAAAGTTTCATTGACCTGCATCAACTGAACTCCACACATCCAGTATCCACAGAATCTTTTGATGGGGAGAAAACATTTGAGGTGGTCTAGATGAATTACTCAATGAGAATTTCAACGCATACTTCAGATGGCTAGATACTTTGGCTAAATCCTGTCATTCAAAGAAAAGTGCAAAATATGAATCAATTGTTCTTTTGGAAAGAAACATACTTTCATTAATAAGGAAAACAGCAGTACAATACAGGGAAAAAGATGTCTACTAAAATACAAAAAATAACAGTAACAAGCACCAAACAGTAAAACAATACAGGGAAAAAGACATCTACTGAAATACAACAAATAAAATAACAAGCATCAAACAGTAAAACAACAGAAATGAATAAGCCAAAGCACAGCTAAATGCCAATCACTAAAAAAAAACCATGAAAAAAAAGCCCACAACTCTGAAGAGAGCGATGACCAATTACAACCCACAATTCACTTGTGACAAGTAGAACAACCCAGCTTGGGTCTCCCCAAACAACCTCTGCCACTGTGAGAGAAAGTGATTCAACATTTTCACACATCAAGCAACAATGAAGTGAAAGGTACCAAAAAAATCGTCTCCTGTAAATCAAATATAAATTATTCTGTGGCCTTCCGAAAATGACCAAGAGGGTCCACAAGGAGTGAGAAGAATCGGCCATTGATTGCATATAGTAAGATTTACATGAGAAGACTCCTAATGACTCTAACTTCCATAATCTTCTAACCAACCTAGATGGAACCAACAAAAATTCTATAAGAACTGTTATATTTCAGAGATGGGCTAGTGGCCCACTACTAACAACACCGATATTGTCCCCAACTTAACCACCTACAAAGCCCAGTAGGTGTGGGGTTCTATCACAAAAGGCCTCGGTATTATTAATAGTAGAACCATTCATTATATTTTGTATATTATTTACTCAAGTTTCCAATGTGGGACTCATATTCTTCAACAAGAACCAACAACTATTTCTTACTCCCCCACCACTTGATCGTTTGGTTTCCTTCAAAATCAAAACCCAATATCCCAATTGAAGGAAAAGAAGGATTTGCACAAAAATCCCAATATCCCTAAACCCTTTGGTCCATTTTGAATGCCAACCCGACCTCAAGAGACATCTTTCCCAGAATACTTGAAAATCCCACCCAATTGCATGCAACCTAAATTGGTTAGATAAGTGACACCCAACCGAGATATCAAATGTTGGAACCTTAAGTCACAAAGATGGAACTCTAAGTCACCAAACCATTAACAAAAATTACCAAAGCAAAAAATTCAGCTGAGTGTTGGAAAATCAGTGATTTGTGAGCAAATTCCTCTTAAGCTCAGAATTATATCATATATAGTTCATGTATATAGAATTCAGCAGACGTCAACTGTTTAGATGATCTTACCAGCTGTAATCTTTTACTAATGACCAGAATGAAAGATGTCATACATATAGTTTATGGCTATAGATTTCAGCAGAGTACAACAATTTAGATGGTCTTACCAGATGTAATCTTTTGTTATTGACCAGAATGACAGATGATAGTTCCTGAAGTAGCTTCATATCCAGGGCAAAGCTTGTACTATCCATCAAGGGAAATACGTCCTGCCAACAGCCGTACCCATATGCCTGACCTAATGCCACGATGCACAAAGAACAACAGAAAGATCCATTCGCTCCGCAAAAAATCTTGTTCGACCATGAAGTCTCCTCAATTTTGATTCTTTCCTTTACAAACAATTGCAAAAGCTTCTGCAGAAAATTTATATAACATATATATATGTATTTCATCAACATGTGATAGGAAGATTCAAAATGATGATTGTGAAAAACATAAAGGCATCCCACCTGATAAATGCGATCCAACTGTTGAACATGGTCCTCATCCTCGCAAGAATCCGATTTCCCAGTGATACATGATGACATGGAAACACCTACGTCAATTATAAATACCATAAGAATTTGTAACGACATGTCCTCAAACCATTTCAAATGATAGAAATCAAAGAAGTATTTTAATATTCTACCTTCCAAGACAAAGGAGCGAAGATCAGAAACTACTCCAATCAGAGGATCATTCACTGTAACAGCCACCAAACAAAGACAGTGTTATATCAGCTTTAAAACAAAGTAATGGAAGAAACAGATAAAGACAATATCCTACCATGGACAAATAATCCTGTTCTAGTTGGCCAAACCGACTCACAAAGTTCCAAAATCTGAAGCTGCTTTTCAAACAGTTTAGAAGAAGACGGCAAAATTGGGTGACCACCATGAACCCACAGCAAGGACTTCCCTGAGTGGAAGCGCGAAGAACTGTCCAGATTATTGCTCTCTTTCCGCAAACATTTTAAGACTTCTTCAAAGTAACAAGCTTCCTTTGACGCATAGCTGTCCTCATTATTCCACTCTTGATAAGTGAGCCTCAGTTGCTCGACGTACTTCACAGCACTGTGGAGAAACTCACTGGATATTTTGAACTTCTCATCTGATTCAATCACATCAACCAACCCTAATGAGAGCAGTGGTATCAGCTGCTTTTCAAATTCTACTTTGTGAAGAGATGCAAGGTCATGGCATCGAATGGACGTATATTCCCAAACAGGATGATCCATACTTAGTGCAATTGACTTTACAAAATAATCAAAGAACTGACAGAAAGGCTGTAATCGAGAATGAAACCAGCTGAACCACAGAAGGTACAGCTTGAGATCACTTTCAGTAGCCTGTTCAATGGCCCATTTGGCAGCAAACAATAGCTTTTTCTCAACCTTGGCCAATACCTTATCAACTTCAGTATTCTCAACGGAGATTAAAGTCAAAAAAGTGGAAGCCCTGTGAACCATAGTTTCATTTAACAACCCCATACCCCTCAAGTAAGTCACTACATAGCGACAAGCAGTTGAATCCAGGGACATATTGCACCTGCTCCTCGCGTGTTGAAATTTGTATGACGCATACTTAGCCCCCAGAAACTCAAGGTACATGCAATTAGTCTTCACAAGAGCTTGTTTCGAGTGCCACACGAGTTCCCGCAGCTTCAATGGCGTCGGCCATCCTCCAGGCAAACACAAAGATGGACGCAGTGACGAGTCAGATTCACACAATTCAGTTCCTGATAAATATGTGCATTTCACATGACTAATAACATTTCCTCCGACAGCCTCACCGAAAGTACTAAGGTATATATGCTTCCAACTTGTTTGAAGGCTCCACAAAGGCTGGCTTCCGTTCATGAGAAGTTGTTTGAACAACTGAACCCAGCGAGCAAGCTCAAGATACGTGATGGAAACACCAAAACGTAATCCTTCTCCTCTAGCATATACATGTGATTTCGCCATAGAATGCACCACTTTAGCAAAGGGAACACCTGAGAGAACAAGAAATCTTTTCACATCATTTAGCTCAGTCTCCTCACAATTGTATCTGCTGCTCTCATCTAGTAGCCAATTTGGCTGCATCATAAATATTTCAACTCCTCTGTTCCTCATTGCTCGGGATACTTCACCATAACTAGGGTTAACAGTGAGGAACATCCGAAAATCAGGATGCGGTTGGATGACAACTGGTTTTCCGTCAACAACCCCACGCTCATTAATTGTAATTGATCCAGACGGCTCTACTAAAGAGTTGATCCTATCAAGTACCTAGATTCAACAATCAAATTAGAAACTAGGTGACACAATAAATAAACATGGGGCATATTAACTTCACTGGAAAGCAGCATGAGAACATGAATGTTAGAGGATAATAAAGGTCATAAGCATAGCAAAGTTTACATACCGTGGGATTACAACAATTCGCATTCTCTAGAACAATCCATTCTCCACGTTCTACAGCCTTTATCAATACTCCCGCAACCCATTCAAACTTTACTGAAAAGGGTCCTTTCTCATAACCTTCTTGCAACTTGATGATTGTCCTCATAACTCTATCAAGTTCTTTGCTTGACCAAGATATGGATGGAACATTTTTTTCCACGAACAACATTAGATGTTCAACAATCTCCATTAACAAAGTAAGAGAATTGGAAAATTTCACTCTATCTTCCAAAAAATTAGAACTAAAACAAGAAATAGAATCACAATTTACGTTCGATACGAAAGAAAACCATCTTGTAATAAGACCCTTGCTATCATGTAAAAATGCCTCCTTCGAAAACTCCAATCGCAAACTGCAACACTCCTTCACATAGGAGTCAACCTCAGCAACAACTGAGCGGAAGTTTCGGAAGGCATTATATTGCTCAAAGCATCCAAGTATTTCAGAAATATCAGTCCCAGATGAAAGATGTAATTCATTTAGTACGTTTCCAGTGAGCTGAGCCAGTAACCTGACCAATGAAGTCTTACCACAGGATGCTGGACCAATCAGGATACACATCCATTGATGCTCTACACATTGTGTGGTAGCTTCTAAGCTTTGACGAATTCCAGGCAAAATTTTAAGTGTGCTGCTAGGAAGTTTAGATGACTGGACACAATTCCTTCTTACGGCAGTATTTCCAACCATTAAGTATTCAGAATTGAGGTGAACTCGTGGATAAGGATTTATATATGGCTTTATCTCAAAAATCTGCTCATATAGCTGTAGGACTTTTCTTCGGTCTGATTCAGTACGCATCCGTTGAACATAGACAATGTCCAGGAAGCAATAATCTTCGGACTCAGAGGGTGCATCTAAATTGAAAACAAATTATTAGAAACCGGCATTATCCAACAATACATTGTTCACAAGAATTAACAACGGAAAGAATAGAAAGAAAACAAAAATTGTGGTTCAAACCTTGTATGATTTGACATGATCGAATAACATCTCGTAGATTAAACTCCCAAGGAGAACCTTCCAGAGCAAATTTGTGATACACCATAGTGTCTTCATACAACCGTTTATTAAACAAAATCAGTTTTGAAAGAAGAGGTATAGGAATCGATGGAAAAAGTGAACTACAGATAAAATGATAGTCATCCTCAACCAACTCATCCACATACACCTGAAACAAAGAGAGAGATCAGATTTATACTGTCACCGAGTGTGATTCATAATAAACATCAGTTTCACACAAGTCTAAAATTCCTACGACAATTAGACAAATACCTTAGTGAAACGGTTGAGAAAAGATTTTGGAAGGCCTTTTCTGCCACCACCTTGATAGGAAGGGTTTTGACAAGCAAATATTCTGAAGGATGAGGGACACTTAAAAGTATAACCCAGCTCTGGAATGAACACTTCAGCTCGATGATCCAGAATAGCATTCAAACCCTAAAATGATTCAATTCTCCATTAATCATAATTGACATAAAAATAAAATAACTTACTAGAAAGTGCAGAAGCAACATATTATAAACAAGAAACTATCCGAATATAATTGCATAAAATAACAAACAGGGATCATGGAAATGCCTCCAATACAGATTGTGGAGCAAGATTAAGTTCATCAAGCAAAACCCAAGAGCCTTCTTTCAAAGCCTGCAAGAGTTAACACGTAAGACAAGAAAATGAGAGGAAGGTAAATTCAAGCCACAGGTAAAGACATTAAACTTTCAAGATAAGGTGTTTTAACCTGCAAAAGGATCCCATCGGACCAGGCAAACTTCATTCCTTCATCACTTTCAACCGGTAAGTCAGAACCCAACAAGTCCATCATATCAGTCTGCAGCAGAATCATATGAACCATCCCCAGATGCATAGAGAAAAAAAAAAAAAAAAAAAAGAGTGAGCAAACGATGCATAACTATATATAAACATATATATGTGCTATATGAGAATAGGATAGCCCAAAAAAATTACTGACCTGCTCAGACAAGTTTATCCTGACAACATTGTGACCAGAAAACTTGCCCAATGCAACAATCAAACTAGTTTTCCCAACACCTGGACTACCTTCTAATAGAACTGGAATGCATAAAATCAATTAAGAATGTTAAAGAAGTAATTAGGATATAAAAACAAAAACAAAAACTCCGGACAAAGAAAACATTTGGAAGAATCACTTGTACTGAAAGGGACATACCAGGTTTGGGAAGCTGCATAGCTCGAAGTACCCGCAATACATTTCTCCTGGTGGTTGGTGCCAAAATCTCAAACCCTTCAGCATCAAAACTTACAGAACCTATAGCACACCATAGAAGAAGACAATATCTAAATTGAATACTAAACATCAAGGAAATTTAATGACAAACATTTAAGATTCAGTGCCATGAAACAGAGAGGGGAGAGAGAAGGAAAGAGTTCATACAGTGCCTAAGAAAAACCTCTTGAAAACAATTAAGCAGAGGGAAAGCATGATGCATAATGTAGTTACCTTTTTCTATATAGAACGGATCCACACCAAAAATATTGTCACACTGCATGCTATCACTGCACAAATCACCTTCAGTTGTATCAGGATTGCCCCAACCATAGTTTTGAATTCTTGCAAGTTTTGAGTACTCCAATTCAGTAACGTTTCCCTGTGTTACCAAATGTACGCAAGAATGGCTTTAGATTGACAACCAAAGCACTCGAACTCATGTTTCACACTCAAAGCCAATATGTACAGGTGAAGCAAAAGATAACAGAATTGAAAGCGTATGCACTTGTGTGAGGAATCCAAGAAGATTACAAATAAGATAACAAATTCAAGTACTCAACAAACAAGGAATGGTATAAAGGAAACCAAACAGACCTTCAGTTGCTTTAAAAGGATTTTGAAGCATTCATTCCTCAGATCTATGACGTTCCCTTTTGAAATTTCACTCCCTAAACTCAGTCCATCAAGCAAAACAAGGAATGCCCCATGAAGGAATGCAGACTCAGATCCTAAGTTGTTTTCAGTCACATTAATAAAATCAATCCAAGACAGCAGATCTCTCACAGTAAGTGTTCTCCCTGTTTTTAGATTGTTGAACTGCTCCCAAAAATTCAGCAAAGGATCCAAAATGGATGAGAGCTTCGGGGAGGTTATCCTTGCAAGACCAATACTTTCAAGCTCACCTCTATCACCAATAGTGGGAACCCATATCTCTGTGAACCGATTACGAAGGGCGGGAGACAGTTCTTTCTTACCAAAATCACCACCAGGATTCATTGTCGCAAGCAAAAAGAATCTCTCGTGAGCCACAACTTTCTCCAGATCAGGACCTCCTTTCTCAGCTAAAGACAGTGTTCTCTCTGGCTCCAAGACGCTGTTCAACCTCTCAAGTACACTATCATCAGCCAAGGAAATTTCATCCACCAGAAAGAGATCACCACTCCTCATTGCCTGAACAAGGGGTCCATCCAGCCATACAAACATTTTCTGCCACTCTTGGTGCATCTCAGAAAGCTTCAGCATTATCCCTTCCAAAGTCATCAGATTGTGCTTGGTGACATCAGGATTTAAAATCTGACCTTGTTTGTAATCTTTTATCATTTTGTTCAGATTGGACAATGTTGTAGAGGCTTGACCAATGTCCGAAGAGACGGTCTACAAAGAAAGAGATGCATGAGAAAGTTACAAATATAATACAAATAAAGCAACCCATATCTCCGCTTGACCTAAGTCATGAAGCATTGCCAACTATTGTTCAAAAATAAATAAATTGTATTGTAGGAAAACAATACATTGAACATTTGCAAATAAATGTAAAGGAGTTTTTAATAAGAAATATTAAAGTTCATAAAAACGTGAAAGTGCCTTAGAATTGCTCAATTTTTATCTTCAAAAATACACTACTCTTCAAACTGACTTTTGCTAAAACATATTTTACTTCAAATAAATATATAGATACAATGGGAGCTTCTTAAGAGGGATCCCTTTCAAGGGAAAAGTAAGGGATAGCATCTGCAGACTTTAGATGTGATCCAAGAATCTGAACTACCTACTTTTAAGATCTACACATTCTCCATACAAAACATCAGCCAAATTCAAAATCTTTTTTTTTTTTTTAAGCAAGCACATTCTTGTATTATCCAAAAATGTAGGCCAAAATACACTTTTTTTTATACAAATTTATAAATAAACCCAATCCTAGACATGTATTTATAAAAAAACCCAAACACTATTTAAACATAGAAACACACCCAAAATCAACAATTGTATATTTTTTGGGTGTGTTTATAAATGGATTTTGAGTGTGTAATGATGGGTTTTGGGTGTGTTTATAAAGTGTTTTGGGTGTTGGGTTTTTTTATAATTTCAGCCCTGGGTGTTTTAGTGAAACTCCTTTTTTTTTTATAGAAGAAACGAAATTTATAAAGCAAAAGGACACGGAGGTGGATAAGACAACCACAACCGGAGAACAACACCAACACACAAAGAAACAAACAACACCAACCCCTCCCAAACTAACAGGGAGGAACAAAGCCAAAAAACCACTGAAACAACACACCCCCCAACCCTCACATACCCACTGCTGCCATATCCCTCAAAATATTAGAAACAGAATAATCTTTAAAATCTTCAGTAACAGAAGCCCACAAAGCTGCCCAGTACTTAACTCTATCCCACAAATCACTCACTCCCACCCCCTTGTAGTCTTCAAAAATTCTCCTATTACGCTCCATCCAAATGTTCCAGAAAACAGAGTGAACCAGACAGCCCCACAAGGTTGAGGCGCGCTTCCCCGAACCCCACACCTCAAAATCAGAACAAAGGAAATCAGCACCCTTTCGGAATCACCCAAACGGTCCCAACCTCCCTCCACAAAAGCCCCCAAAGACTTAAGGAAAAGGGGCAATGTAAGAAAAGGTGGTCCACACTCTCCTCACCAAGCTTACATAACACACACCACTGAGGAGACAAATACATGAAAGGTCTTTTCCTTTGGACAAGATCCGAAGTGTTAACTTTCCCAAGCGCCACCAACCAAACAAAAACTTTGACCTTAGGGGGGGACTTGGCCTTCCACACACTAGAGAAAGGAATAAAGGTCACAACACTCCCCTTGTTGCGTAAAAAGGATTGAAAGGACTTGCAGGTGAAAAAACCCGACACCTCAAGAAAGGTCACAACACTCCCCTTGTGTTCGTCTATTTGTTTATAACCAACTTGTTTCCGATTTAGGTTTTTTTTTTTGCAAGGATGATCCTCATTTTTTTTCTTGGGAATCCCTTGTGGGGCCAACTTTGCATTCTAGTTCAATGAACCAAACCATTTTAAAGTCTTTATTCAAAGATCATCCATGCAAAAAGTTAGCTAAACTAGAAATCATTGACATAAAATACATAGATGAACACCTTCAATAACCACTGAAATTTCATGATGATAATCAAATGGATAAACAACTTCCAATTTGATTGATCTTTCGCAAGATAATCCTTGCAGTAAAATCAAAGAAATACACGGTTTGGATCATTTAACTAGAATGTGGAGTAGGCCCAACAAGGGATAACCCACTTCTAGCAGAAAAAAATAGGGACCCCATACCTGAAGCTGCTATTTTATATGTATCTAAGCATACTACACTCTAGAGTAAATCCCACAAAAATAAGAAAAGTAATCTCACGTGCTTGAGCCCATGAGTGGTAGTTTTTCAAAACGGAATAAGGAACAGAATTGAAAATATAGACAATTAAAATATTCTTACATAGTCCAGATGAAACTGGTTAAAGGCCTCTGTCATCAACAATTCTTCAATTGTTCTTTTAAAATCTGATGTTAATCTCGATCTCTCCCGAATAGGATAAAACCCCTGTAATGCATTTCATTAACTATCATTCCAATCTTGAATGGTATCAAAATAAAACTAACATTCCAAAAACATTAAGCATCCGCAGAGTACCCAGTAGTAGGAATTAAAAGCACAACTACAAATGCAATAAATAAATAAAACATAACCAACCCCAAGAAAATCAGAGGTTTCGGTGTACTGATGACAGTTCAGGATGTGCAATTTTGAACCCAAAAGAATACTCAGCAACTGACAGACGGTTGTCTTCCCAACCCCTGTTTCACCAACAAGAAGTACAGGTTCCCGCACTTTATAGCAACGCTCCACTAGGAAGTACAATCTTCGCATACTTTTAGTCCAACTACCACCGAATTGAACAGAAATTAGTTTCAGTATTTAGAAAAATAATGAAAACTTACTAGCACCAAACCGAAACTACAGTCTAACCCATACTTTTGAAGACTCTTCGGAACTTCAGCACCATCAGGCAAGTTGGGAAGAGGTTCCTATTAAAAGTACAAAAAAGAAGTCAGAACACATTCACAATAAACCAATTTGGTTGCTTATTTTCATGCACTGTAGAAAGTATTGGAAAGCAATCCGGTTCCCCCTGTCGTAATTGATAATTTTTTCCCCCAATTTCTGAATGAACTCCACCAATACAAAAGGAGACAAATCTATAAAGTTTACAGGACACAATTGACTAACTACATAGGAAATGAGTACAGCACATATGTGGTATTCAAATAATCCTTCTACTAATAGATGACAACAACAAATCCAATAATTATAAGTCTCCTTTTTTTAACTGAATACTGATTACTGAATCCATGTTGGCAAAATTTTATTACGCAGAAGAAATTCCCAGGCCATGCAACCCTAGCCCAACCAGAACACATGAGGAACCAAGAAAGCAAAAAAGCAGGATGTTCCACAGACACCCCAACGCAAGGAGGGGGGGAGAGAGAGAGAGAGATAACCTGAAAGTACAAGTTGTCTTCATCAAGTTTAACACGGAAATTTTTTTCCAAAACTTCTCGAACAACACATTTCTCGCCTTCATCCCGAAGCCTCTCTGCCAAAAGATAATAACCATCTCGGGCCAAATCCACATCAGAACCACCCCCAAGTTCTATGAAACGATCAGCCCACCGGAACAAGTCTCGCGGAGTAATGAACCCATGTTTCCCAGCAAAAACTTTGCTCATCTGCCTTTTCAATTGCAATTCCTTCATCACAATAATCATTTGCTTAGCCATCTTTTTAGAAATTCCAGGGCGCCGCTCTAATAAGATTGTACTCAACTCAGTTTCAGGAATTTCATCAACATGAATTTCTACAAAACGATTGCGGAAAGCTCGAGAAAGCATTTTACGCCCACCATAAAAACCCGGAGGATTCTGAGTGGCAAAAAGCATAAAATTTTCATCTGCATGAATAGTTTCCTGCAACTCAGGCACAAAAAGCTCCCTATTATCATCTAGTAATCGGTTTAATGCTTCCAGCACATCAGATGGAGCTAAGTTAAGCTCATCCAGAACTATCCAATACCCATTTCGTACAGCCTTCACCAGTACACCTTCATGGAAGACGAGCTTCCCAGAAGCATCCGTTATATAGGAACCAAGATATTCTTGCAAGTCGGTATGTTCATGATTATTTATTCTTACAAATTCATGACCTGTTATTGCAGCAAGATGCTGAACAAGGCTAGTTTTGCCACTGGATGTAGGTCCCTGCAATAGAACAGGGTATTTCTTTATCCAAATAGCACGAGCCAAATTCCTGAGACGTTCCTCAACACTTTCAGTTACAGTATACTTTATAATGTTATCAGAGCTCCCATTAATAGTTGAGTCACTTAAGTACTTAAAATAAGGTACTTCCTTAGGAACTTTTCCACCTAACAAATACTTCAAGATTGTTTCTTCCATAACCAAAGCACTGCTTTTATCCAATAAAGTGAGAAAAAACATACAGAACCCATCGTATATTGCTTTTGGAAATCCAAATTCCAACTCTCTTTCAGCCTTTGTTGTATATTCTAGTGCACGGTAGAGAGACCTCAAACTATATTGTGGTTTTTGATTAGCTCCATCCTGCAGCTTTTCTTCAGATAGTTTCTTGGCAATTTTATAAAAGGACACAATGTTATATACTAATTGCAAATCTGATTTTCGGTCACCCAAAAACTGACCAACAAATAGTGTTAGATCTTCATCATCCAACACATCATCAACAAAATACTCTGTAAATCTGCTCCTCAAAGAGAAGGGCAAATCTCGCTTGCCAGCATCAGTTGCAGGATTCATACAAGCAAATAAACGGAAGCTGGGATGCCTATCTATATAATGAATATCCCCCCTTTCCGCTAAACAAAGTGATCCATGCTCCCCTTCAAGCACACTGATTACCCTCTGCAACGTCTCGGGAGGGGCCAAATTCACCTCATCAAGCAAAATCCACTCACCATTTCTCAGTGCAGTTACAAAAGCTCCTTCCACAAACGAAAATATCATTCCATGTGCACTGGCATTCTCTACTTTCAGTGTGAAATTTTCCCAGGCTTTGATTTGTTCCTCAACTGGAGCTTTCTTGCGCTTTTTTCCAGACTCTTCAACTAACGATCTTGCCTCTTCAACTTTCTGGAAAAACTTTTTAATACCAACCTCAAATCCCTTTAGTAACCTTTCCCAGTCCTCCTTCTTAAGAGCGTCTTCTAATTTCCCAATAAATTTAGGATTAAGCTGCATATAAGCATATAACAGCACAGGTTATTGCCACAATTTATAAATCCACAATCAAGCAAATAACATTTGATATAAACAATACCTGCACATGAAATGATTTAGAGAATAGATCACAAAACTCATTATACAGCGGAAGGTAAACAAACTTTGCGTCCATGGGCTTATATCCCCCTAACAAGTCAGCAACATCACTTTGCTGACTTAAGTTCTGGAACAAAACAGAAATTAACATTAGATCAACCTTTAAAAGAGACACCCATAAATTAGTTAGAACCCAGACAGTGAGAGTAAGAAAAAGAATAAGAGGCATAAGCAGTATTACCAATACTGTTAGCTTATGACCAAGCCTCATTGCCAGATCCTGTACAAGTGTAGTCTTTCCAGTCCCAGTTTCACCAACCAATAGAACAGGCTCATTCCACTTAACAGATGAAGCAATTCTTTCAAGCAAGTGAATCGAACTGCGAATCTCAACAAAAGGTTTCTTCTTGTAATTTTTCTTTCCACACTTCTGCAAGAGTAATGAATATCACTAAGTCTGTATTGAAGATATCTTACACTAAGAAAATGTTAGAAGCCTTGACTTACAGCAGCATGAGTGCGAGGGAGGGAAACTCGTCCAACTCTTAAATTTGAGAGTAAATCCTGCAATATAGCTCCAATTATGAGAAATTCTTTATTCTACCTAACTAGGCACAAAGTTTGTGGCAATCTGAATTCTGAAATTAACTTAGACCTGGACTACAGGCTTATTAGGAGGATACAAGGTATCTGAAACAGTTGATGGCACATCCCACAACCTGGCGATGTATTGCATTAAAGTTAACCGGTTCTTCATAGACGTTGAGAAGGCTGCAAATATGTCAACCGCCTACGTTGCAACACAATGTTCCAAAATTTTAATACAGAAAGCTAGTCATCCAAAACAAAACAAACGATATGATAAAAGGAAGGCCATTGATTAAGACCTCCTGATAGATACAATCACGTGCATAAGGTGACAAATCATCTCCCTCAAAGCTAAAACCCAGGCCTGTTATACGCTTGCACCATTTGAGGAGATCCCTGCCATCAAATGGAATAGAACAAATATTGAAATCCAAACAAACCAATATGAAATCCAGTAACTAACTTTACTTACCTTAAGGAGAATCTACTTGGGTAACTAACAGAAGCAGAATTTCCAGCTTGAAATCCACCAGTTTGATGTAATGTGGCAGAGTTAATGCTTTCAAATGTTTCTGGAAGCAGTAACTAGTTAGCATTCTGTAAAAATAATCGAAAATATTCTTAATATGATGTATGAGTCATTACACACCTGTGAGTTTCACAGCAAGAGGCTCTAAACTTGGATACCACGCTTTCACTATGCTTTGCAAGTCCTCATTAGTTGAGGGTGAAACATACACTTTAAAAAAAATGGAAAGTGAATTCCCACCTGCCGCAAATAAATTCATTTGTAATATGTCCTGGAATTTATATATAATAGCACATTTGTTCCAATTTACAGATGAACTATCGACACTATTCCATATATGACTACAATGGTTGACAGCATAAAAAAAACTTGTATAAATCAATTCAATACGTTTTTTTATTGACTCCTACAATGATAGAATTGAAAATCTGCAGAATCCCAACCAATCCCTTAAGAAGCCAGAAATCTCTCCTGAAACTGGATATACTCTAGTTTCAAAGAAATTAACCAATGACAACTGAGCAACCAAAGAAATAATGAACAGACAAACAAATGACATTATACAGTGCTATGTACAATCATTATGCCTAAGGACAAAGAGAAACCAGGAATGGCTCAATGGGGGGTCACAAACCTTCTGCAATGCAAGACGGATCAAGCTTAGAGGTTGAAATTGTGGAAAAAATTCGAAAACTTTCTGGCACCCTAATTTCCTGCACATATCCCAAAATGATTCAAGCACGTTTAAAAACTACAATAGAAATGCAAGTACACCAAAGATAGACAAAGAAAGCCCATACATGGCATAGCAAAAAAAATAATCATCAAAATTCAAAACAAAACAGGAAGGACACACCAGACACAATACAAATTGGAATTGAAAATCATGAATAGCTAGTTAACAAATAAAAACAGGAACATACCTTGCTGAAAAGCAAATAATAAAAGTAACTGTTTCCTTTGGTTTTTTATTTTTTATTTTGGTGGGGGAATCACGAATTTCTAGGTTAATTCCGACCCATATAGATCTTAAAAGATAAGAAACTTCCAAACACAAAAAGATAGGAACTCGTAATGTTAAAGGTTTTCTTCAAATTAAGATTCAAATTCAACCTCAACAATATGTAGGGCAATGGTACCTATTTACGATTTAGTCCAGTAAATTCCACAAACTACAGAGAACACAAGGGGGAAAGGTAATGGGCAGAAACTATTACCAACGTCCAAAAAAATAAAAAGGAAAGCTATTCCATGCAATATGTCTGATGGTTTGTAACATTCTTGGGTGCTTTCTTAGCCAACCTGGGGTAGGTGTTTAAGCCTTATTATTGTGTTTCGTGGCAGCTAGAAAAGATTGGTTAAAATTAAATAGAGTCCTCAAAAGTGCTTATGGGTTATAAAAGCACTTTCTAGTGCTTCCTGGAGAAGCAGCTCTTCCATGTGCTTTTCAGAGCACCTCCTCCCAAATTCCCAATCATTGTTTGAAAACAACAGTAGATTTTTCCTTTTTTAAGTGGAGTCAACAACAGTAGCAAAAAAGCTCTTGAAAAAAAAGGTAGCAAAAAAGCATATCAGAGTACTCAAGTAGAAGTAAGATTGACGGATCAAAAAGTAAGCAGGAAAGCATATTTAAATATCTATTTCTAGGGTAAGGAGAATAACTAAGAACCGGTTACCTGTCCATGCCCAGTTGCAAATAGGTTTACACCCTCCAGCAAAGGTAATATAACAGAACGCACATCAGAGGGTGCTTTGTCAATATCCTCGAAAACAACCCAATACCCATTAGAAACAGCCTGCCACAAGGAGAAATTGGGGTTAAAGAGCATACGACAGTACATGTACATTTTCATTTGACAAAATGATTGCAAACCTGCGTAAGTGACCCTGGCTGCCATCTAAATTCACCAGGCTTTTCCGTACATACATAACTCCCAATTAATGTTCTACCATCAATTTGATCATCCATGTGAATTGATAGAACTGTGAAACAGAGAGAGAGGAGATATTAGTTGTATGAAAAGAACCAATGGAACAGCTAGGGAAAGTACTCAGAAAGCAAACGATATGTAAATACTTAAAAAATTCACTAAACTATTAGTAAAGCATGTTCACCACTCCCCCAGGACATATAAGGCCTATATAAGAATTTTTCTACAAGAGAAGAACAGTTTTCCCATAATGCTCTTCCACTACAAATACCTAACATTTGCAGCTTTTAAATGTTTTTACATAAAGCATTTATTTTCAGACCAAACATCGGCGTACAAACTATCTGAATATGATGCCTAACGTTTTTTTAATTGTGTAACAGTTAATCAAAATACAAAATTTCTTCATGGACTCTGTTTTCATTTGCTGCTTCATCCAGCACCTGTATTGTGCGATAGCAAGCCCAAGTCGTCATGCATGTACCCAAATTCTCAATTATCTCTATTCACTAAGAAAAAGTTCAAACAATGAGAAGAACCCAATCTTGTTCCATAAGCCAATAATTTTCTATCATGTAAGTGGGAATATTAGGAAAAAGAAACTTGAGGGGTATTATATTTCCAAAATGTAGCTGCACAGAAGAGTTAAGTTACTCTTTTTGATGGTTTTGTAAGGTGCAAGTCTCATGCATTAATCAATGGCAACCAGAATTTAAAGGGTTTCCCATGTCAATGAACTGAACAAGTTATAAAATAAAAAAACTAAAAATTCTGGATTCATCTAGTAATATGGACTACATTGGAAACCACCATAATATGGAAGTGCTCACACCTAAGGAAATACTCCTAAGATGAGAATTTCAAAGAAACCATGCATAAGCACAAAACTGTCGCTCATGTAAGGCACCACAGCATGCACATTAGGTATGCATAATCACAGTACATTTTAAAAAATAAAAAATCAACACTACGTCCTACATGAATCTAAAGTTACGTCATATTGTTTGAACACACTGTCAATTAATTATTTTACAGCAAGACTATGTCAATCTATTTTTTTGGCAAAACTGTCGATTTATTTTGAATCCAATATCAAATTGCATATGCCTCAAATGCAGGTAGTAAGAAACACTGTTTGCCAATCCTATATCCCACCCTGTATTTAAAAGGTTAACAGTTTGTTGCAAGTATAAAGCACCAGAAACTAAAGAACACATAAGAGGAGAGATTTTCAACTAGTATGAAGAACAATATATACCTTGATTTCCACTGTCCTGGGACAATTTGCTAATGAGAGCAGATTTCCCGCAGCCAGTGGGACCATACAGAAGAACAGGCCACTTTTCCTTCACAGCTGAGAGCATCATCTTAAAACTTTCCTTCACCGCTGAAGTTACAACAAATGGATCGCCAGCTGATCTCTCATCCCTAAAGATACCAACAAAGTTAAGTGCCAACATAAGAAAACAAAAGAATAGTTGCTAATGCAGACAGGCAGAAGAGAAAACAGGTTGCTCCATATGAAGACACAGATTTCATCATGGAGAGAGAGAGGATAGTTCATAAATTTGCATAGTGATAATATACCATGTTCTTATAAAAAACAAAAGATAATATACCACGTAGCACACCTTTGACGCTTAGTTTGTGGCTCAATGTCAGAACATTGTGATGAAGACTGCAAACAGCTTTTCTGACAATAAACATTCCTTCCATCCAGGGACACTAAGCCCTTTAGTCTGGATGATTCAACATACCAGCCACCGCTCTCAAATGATACGTCCTGACAGAACTCCTCCCATCTGAAATAACAATATCAACATAAATATTGCCATAACTACCTTAGAAACTTTATATTTGTAATCCAGAAATAACTTTCTAAAAGGAGCAAACAAGACCAACCGTAATAAACATGAAAATGCGTCTTCATCTGTGATGCCCAAGTTTTCGGTTGCTTTACAACTTAACTTAAGAATGAGGGAAATTATCTGTAGCCCACACCATCTTATGTCTGCGATGACCTCCACAGTATCCGAAGTACTATTGTGCATGTCAAAATTTGCAGACTGCTCGACAAGGTCCAGGAAACATGACCAATTCTGAAGTTTGGAGAAAAAATCATATTTCACTAAGAGGAGGCGGTAGGACACCCCTACCACAAGCAATACACGCGTTCCAACCTACAAAAGCAAAAATATGACATAAAGCCAATTATCAATAAGGGGAACCAATAGAAAAATGTGGAACTCTAAACTCACAAATGCAAGGGGTCAACAAGAATCGAAATTCATTTTGATTTCACATAAGAACTCACAGCACTACCACTTCACTGACAACCATTTGAAGTTCAAGAGTAAACACTCACAAAACAAAATTCCAGCTCGTGAGAAAGCACAAGGCAAGGCTAGCAATTGCAGATAAAAAACAGACTGCATATTGCATATCCAAATAGAAAGTGACCAAAGTGTGTTGGGGTATGTTTTGAACCATTTGTTTACGACATTACATCAAGTTTCAAGTTTCAACCACTAACTTTATTATGTGCTTTGTTTATTACCAATGAGAATAAGCTTCCGCTATTTCCTGCTTTCATTTAAACCTAAAGCAAATACAAAACACAAAAATAAAATAGTGGCCGAAAAATAGCAAAACCAAAAAGGTAATGTGAGACTGTTAGTGTTTGTTAGATTTCAGTGAAAACAAATCGATTCTTGGGACAAGGAATGGTAAAACTACACCATTCGCCAATATATGAAGAAACTGTAAATCTAAATGAAGGCAAATCACTTTCTTTCTACTTGTTCAATTCCCTTAACAACAATCATTAAAAAAAGAAGTAACAAAAAGAAAAACATATATGATTGATGCAATTAAGTATTCTAAATATATGCTGAATCTTTTCTTTTCTTTTTTCCTTTTTTTTGGGGGGAGGGGGGGGTCGCTGGGGAGGGGAGAGGACGGGGAGGAGAGAGAGTTTCCATATTTACACAGATATGTGCTACAAAACTTACAAACCTCAACACAGAGATCAGACACTTTTGGTCCCATCAAAATGCGTTCAAATGGAGGTGGAGCAAATTCAAAGTAACCTACTATAGACCTGCCAAAAGGGGAAAAGGAAAGTCAAAAACAAACAATGATACAGCTTCTATAATTAAATTTCCAATTATCAACCACAGAGCGCACCTAACAGTATCTCCACTAGGTGAATCCTTACAGAGGGAAAATGATTTTCTTTAAAATAATATATATATATATATATATATATATATATATATAAACACTGCTCAAAAGCTTGTTCACGATATACCATTTAGAAAGGCACGTGAAGTAGAGCTAGTGACAGTATGAGTTTCCAACACAAGACAGAAGAAACTATAATGAACAAGAAATTTTTTTAATTAACTATTCATGCTTTTGATCAAGAAAGACTTCAAGAGATTTTCTTTTTAGTTTCTTTCTTTCGTTCACACGGGAAGGGAGAGTGTTTTGGAGAACAGGGTCGACTTTTTATATTATCACTATCATCAGCTTCATCTTAGACTGCTGACAGGGGACACATTGCCAAATGAACAATCAGAACTTTTTATATTGCCAACTGCTGCGTGCTTCATTTATAAAGCTTGAGTATCAAAGAAAATAACTAGTGAAATAATCTCACTTCACTTGATCCTAGGATTCATTTGATATTTATAATATCTGAGTTAGTATACTTTAGTTTGTCTTCCATGACTATAACAAAAAACTGCAAACAAATTACTTATGAAACAGAAAAGATAAGAATGCAAAAACCTCAAAAGCAAGTAAACACGATAACAACACTACTCTGGAATGCAAAGTCTCCAAAATACCCTCAACTTTGTCTGTCTCTAGTAAGTCACCAGAACACTCATGGAGAAACAAAATTAATAAGGAGGAAAATAAAGTAATACAAATACACATTTAAACATTGGTTCATTAGGCTCTCTCATACACAATTACACACAACTCGAATATATAATACATATATATATATACATATGAATACATACAAGACATATACATACACATATTATATATATGGAAATTTATATATCACCCTATTCACATAAAGAAATTAACCTACCCCCAAAAAAAAGGTGCCAACTCAAGGGCGCGACAGAAGGCTAAACAAACAAGCTCATGAAGATCCAGACCCCTCCCAGCTCCACTATAGAACTCAATCACATTTTCAACTTCATTTAAATCTCTATCTTTCCCAACTTCTACAACTCCGCTGTCAGAATTAGACCGCAAATTGGGCACAAGCCGAAGCAATTCGACAGCTTTGTCCACGATTTTCTGAGCTATTGGACGAAAACATCCCATCAAGGGAATAGTATAATTTGGATGCACAAACAACTCAACTAGAGCTTTCACCACTTCATCTTGAGTCAATGCATTTCCCTGCATAAACCCAAATAACCCAAGAAAAAAAAAAGTAAATTTAATAGGAACATTATTAAACCCTTCAATATCAATTTGTTGAAAAGATATTCCCAATTTTTTTATTAAAAAGAACTAAATCAATGCAAATCCTTAGTTTTCATGTCTTCTAATTTTGTAACACCTTAAAAACGAATATCTCTTACGGACTTTTTTCAACAACCAAATAAAGCTGGATAAAATGAGGGTGAACACGGTACCTTTTTCGTCAGCAAAACAAACTTTGGAGAAGATTGGAGCTTTGGACAACGGGCAAGAAACCTCTCCAGTGCAGATTCCAGGCTGAAGCTACCATCCATAGCCATTTGAAAACTCAAATATAACGATTAAAAACCTGTAATTCTCAACACAGAAGCAATTCAACTTAGACGGACTGGTCCAAACCTCTGTATATGTAACGCAAACCAAAATTTTATATATATATATATATATCGTTCAAAAATGAATTGCCAAAATTCTTTTCAAAACTCTAGGCTTTCAGGGCCCTTTTTTTTTCAGTAGAAAATTGAATTTGACGAAAGGGATTCCACAGAATTTGAAAATGCAAAACACTACACCAATTTTCCAGGAAACAGATAGAAATTAGGGTTTGACAAAGGATGTGCCCTAAAGCTCGAAGTTGGGGTTTTTCGTTTACTGGTTTATCAGCCTCGGAGGTTTTAGCTCTGGTTTCAGGGTTTAGGGTTTTAAGGCGGAAAGGTTTTATATATAAGAACCAAACTCAGGGTTTTGAACTTTTGGAGGGCGCCGCGACACCGCCTTGGCAGGTGACCTTTTTACTGCGTGTCATTTTAATTTGGGTTAATTACATAAAAGTACCAACCTTTGTGTGTCATTTCAAATTAGTATCCAACCTTTTAAATTTTTTACAATATACCGGACCACATGGAAAATATACAAATTAGTGCCTATGCTATGTTAGTCAGACCGTTCATGTGTCTGTTAAATGATGACATTGCTGCTCCGATGTGGATTTTTTTGCTTAGATAGATACCACATGGACTTTAAATTTATTAAAAATTCTTTATTTTTAAAATTAATTATAAATTTTAAAATCAAATACTAAAATAATAAAATAACAAAAAATAACCCAGCCCGCCCCCATCTCATCCTCCCCGACCACCCATCCCGATCGTCACCCCAAACAAAACTGAATCGACCACCATCACCAAACCCAGCCCACCGTACCTCGATCCCATCGTAAGCCAACCTCCCTCTCTCTCTCTCTCAAAACTTGTCAAGAATCAAGATACCCATTCCCTAGTCGCAGCACCACCCTCTTCGCCAAACCCAGTCGCATGACCACCCCAGATCTGACAACTTCTGTGTTGGCGTTGCAGCGGCCGAAGAATTTGGCGACGAAGACGGTGGCGTGGCCTCGGGCTTAGGGGGTTGGATCTGGTTTAATCAATTGTGCATAATGCACAACTTCAAATGAGTTGCTGGTTCGGCTTTCTAAGGTTGGAATGGTAGAAAATGCAGCTATGGCTTTGTTTAAATTAGTGGAGATGGTTCAAACCACATCCTAATCGTGGGGTGTTTTGGTGTAATCAATCTGCAGAGAAAGAAGCTGTTGTCTGCATTTGACTTCAGATGCAACAGAAACTCTTAGGTTCTTGGCTTGAAAGCCCAACGGATGAAGATGCTATTCATATTTGTTGATATTATTCAAGATAAATGAAAAAAAATAAATTGTATTCACGTCGTATCCACCTCTTTTTTTTTTAAAGCCACGTTGGAAGCAGCCACATCATCACTTAACGCCTTAATTGACAGTCTGACTAACAAAGAGACTAATTTGTATGTTTTTCATGAGTTTTGTATCTACGTCCAAAATTTAAAAGGTTAGACACTAATTTGAAAGGACCCAAAAAAATAGATACTTTTATGTAGTTAACCCTTTTAATTTCTATGAAGACAAATGAAATGTTTACATATTGTTGAATAAAAATTAAATATTTTGGCAACAAAAAAAAAATTATGTATGTAAATGATCAAGAATATTATGTAATGGACAAATGTTTCATCGTTTATATACAAGTTTGTGGAATAATCTAATTTTTTTGAAAATTAGCGATAAATAATATACATAGTTAAGGCCAGTTTAGTATTGTTATGGAAACAATCGTTATCAAATTTGATGTGAGATAAATTAGTTGTGAAAGAAAGAAATTTGACATTTGATAAACTTTTTGTTAAAATGGTGTTGGTACAATAATCAGTTTTGAGTGTTTAGTACATTTTTGTGTCAAAGTGCTGTGACATATAATGACTAAAAATGATATTATGTTTAAATGGTTTTTATATTCAAGTTTTTGGTAAAAAGAAAAACACTTTCGCGTTCACTTATATATTTTTTTAAAATATGTTTTCATCATACCCTAATATTATTTTAATCATAAAATAAATAAAGTATCAAGTAGTACATAACTCTTTTTTTTTTTTTTGGTCAATCACAGTTCATTAAGACCCCAAAAATGAGAGGAAAACAAACAGAGAATACAAGGCCGGAAAAGCCAAATGCATAAACAAAGTACCACAAGCACAAGGAAGATCAAACTAAGAACCACCATAGTCTAGTATAACAAATCTTCCCCACACAAAATCAAAGCAAAATATAAAACCGAGCCACCGTGGCCACAAATGTACCAAAGACCGCACCAACCGCACCGACAAGGCCACAAAGGAGGGGATTCACATCCTCCACACAAGTCAGCATAGCTGCACATAGAGACCCACAGATCTTACTCCAAAAACAAAATTTCCCCAAAAAACATAAGCATATCAACACAAGAACATTCCTCTAAAAGTCACTTTCTACTTCACACCCGAGTCCGCTTGGACACCAAGAAGAAACCAACAACCAATCACAACACCAGCATAGTATATACCAAAGGATTGAAAGCAAGGGAGTGGAGAGTATTGGTGCAAGCACCAGAGCTAGAACCGTAGCAAGAGCTCTATATATAATCCGATTAAGAAGCGACAAAGCGCTTAGAAAAGTAGTTGCCATATCCCAATGGAGAAACCATATCTAGAAAAATGAGAAAGCAAGGGTAGGAGGGGATGTTGTGGGAGAAGTAAATCTGGTTGAATGGAGTGTTTAGCGAAGAAAGGAGGACACAAAATCGGCTTGAGACATATAATCTCAGCCCATAGCGTAAGGCTTAAGCAGTCACCAGGAGAAGCAAACAACTCTCACAGACAACCACCAATTCTCAAAGGAAACTACCAACTCTCATAGACAGCCACCAACACAGCCAAACAGGCTCAAAACAAAATAAGACCAGCCCCACAAAAGAATCCAAGGAAGGTGAAGTTGAGAACTAGCAGAAACGAAGGAGAAAAAGGGTGGGGGGAGGGAGAAGAGGGACAGACCTCCTCCTCCCCCAATGGAGTCGTGTGGCGCTGAGAAGAAAAAGGGAGGGTGTTAGGTTTTGAGAGAAAAGGCGCTAGGTTAGGTTTATCATTGATACAAGTTAGAAGACTCGATTACAATAGCCATACATAACTCGGTTTTCTAATTTCAATATAAAACCTAGTTGACCAACAATTTAGCAAGCAAAACAGAATTCAAGCTGCTACAATTAATTTAATGGTTTAGTATCAGTTTGAGTTGTAATATAAACTCAAATCAATGAGAAGCTTTATCAACCCTAATTGAGAAGAATGAAATTGACAATAAAAATTAACCTAACATGTCTATTACCAGATTCTTATGGCGTCTAGAGAGTGCTTCAACGATCCAACAAGAAAAATTGAAGGAAGAAACATGAGAAGAGTAGATATGGCCTGAGGAAAGTGGAAGATGAGTGAAGACGAACTATGGGAAGTAGAAGAATGAGGATAAAGAGACGTGATCGTGAAAACATATGGAGTTATTTTGGAATTATGAAATTTTCATTAAATTATAGTGCCTCTCAAAATCGATTGCCGCATAATCAGAAAATGAAAGCATCTATGTACCAACTTTCCCTAATTGTTTTCTCTCACAACAATTATTCACAATAAGTGAAATTTTTTTCCTTACCAAATATGATGGGCTTTCAACTTTTTTTTATTTTTAAATAATCACTTATGACACCAAATAAGCAATGCAAACATGCATTTAGTAACGACCCAAGGTGATTTTTCTTTTTAATAATTGAAGTTTGAAATTCCCCTGCTCAAAATAAGCAATTACATCATTTTCTAACAATGATGAGAGTGAAGATGGTTCCTCATCAATATAAACTTGAAAAATAACATGAATTAGCTACTTAGCAATGGACTCTGTATTTATGGATTTGTGCTTTGTGATATTTAGCTCATTATTAGGGCCTCTTAAAACTAGTCTTCAACGAAAATATTATTTTTTTTAAAAACCACATAATGATAAACTTACAACGAAAACTGATACAATGTTTTTTTGGGTAACAAGGGGGCTAACGCCCAAACACAAAGATCGTCATTTTGTTTGTAACCAAATAAAAAAAAAAAAAAAGATCACAATTTTTTTTAATACTATTAAACAAATAATTCAACGGGAACATAAAACCAAAATAATTTGATCATCGTATTACTAATTATCCTTATATAAATATATTATTATATTATTATATTAAATCATAGGTGGCTGGTGGCCCTTATTCACTATGAAAAATAATTAAAGTATTTAAAAATATAATTATTAATTAAAATAATTAAATAAAGCCAAGATGTTACTTAATTATAAATGTTAAACTAAATAAACTAATTAGTATTCGTTTGACATTGCTTATTTTGAGTTATAATCACTTTCTTTCACATTCTTGGATATCCATCCCGTTTAGTAAAACAAACAAAAATTGCTTTTTGAAGGAAATCTCTACAACATACAACTGTGTGAAGAATCTGGTAGGTAGTTGCTTTCAATTTTCACTTTTACGGGAATCAGATGTGGAATCGGTGTGGGTTAGTCTATATATATAAAGCAAAAGGCAGAGAATGATGAAACATTCAAAATGCCAAAAAATGCCCTTGGTTAATTCAAATATTAAAAATTAAAATTATTAATTAAATGATGATAATATGGTAAATTCATATTTTTTCATATTAAAAAAATAAAAAATAAAAAATCAAATAATATGTCATACTTTTATAGAACGTAGCTACCCATATTATATTTTCTTCATTCTAAAAACTAGCCCCTTACATGAGCCAATTAGTTTTTTTTTTCTTTTTTTTTCTTTTAAAAAATTCAGAAAAGATAACATGGATAGTTATGTTCCATAAAAGTATGACTTATTATCTGATTTTGTTTTTAATTCTAATTTTTTAATATTAAAAATGTGAATTGACCATATTATCATCGTTTTATTAATAATTTCAATTCTTAATGTTTGAATTAACCAATGACATTTTCTGGTATTTTGAATGTTTCACAATTTTCTATCTTTTGCTTTATATATTCTAAAAATAAAATAAAAAATAAAAAATAAAACCAATTTGCACATGCGTGAGCATCTGCCAAGAGGCTAGTAAATATTTATGTAATATATATATTATCTTTATGTCTTTTTACAATTTACGTCACATATCCCTTCATTCCATTCAGTCTTTAGTTCACCCATTCTCTCAATTTCTTTTTTTCCTCTTCACTGATTCATCATTTCACTCTTTAAAATAATAAATATATAAATATCTTGGTGGTTTCTTATTAATTAGTAATTATATTTTAATTAGTATTTAAATTTTAATTAATTTCATCAATTACTTTAGAAATAGTAACTAATTATTTGAAATTATTTTGTGAACTTTTTTATATAAAAATTAATTTTTTTAGTTTAATATTTATAATTAAATAATATCTTAGCTTTATTTAATTATTTTAATTAGTAATTATATTTTAATTAGTAATTATATTTTAAATAGTAATTTATTTAGTAAATAATTAATATTTTAATTAATTTCATAAGTTTTGTTTAGAACTCTTATTAGTTGAAAATAAAAAATAAGGCTAAATTGTAGCAATGGTTCATGGACTAAGATCAAACTTTATTTTTCGTCCCTCATATTACTAAATTGTTACGATGATACTTTAATTATGCTTCTATTTTCAGAAATCGTCCTTTCCGTCAGCTCAGTCAACTTTTCCGTTAAAAATGATGACATGGCATGGACAAGTCCTACTTGGCATGGACAAAAATGTCTTTTCACACAAAAATTTAAAAAATAAATATCATCTCTCATCTCTCTCCATCCCAATTTTTTCTACCCCGTCCCATTTCTTCTTTCCCCTTAATACACCTAGATTTCTTCTTCCCCTGACCACACCAATTTATTCTCCCACCCAAAAACCCACATCAGACCCTAATAATTTCTCCTTTAGATGTGGAATCTTGGCTCCAAGTCTCTCTCCCCTACACCCATCTATTTGATGAGATAACACACATCAGACCCAAATCTTCCAACAAAATCAAACAACAAAGGAAAGAAAAGAAATATTTATAATAAAAAAAGCCTTAGTGGATGAATTTTTTTCTCTTTCCTATAGTTGTTGGGGTTTTGGGTTCATGAGGGCGGGTGGTTGTCATGGGGAACCGGGGGAGAAGAAACCAGTGGGGAGAGAGCGAGAGAGTTTTTTTTTTTTAAAATTTAAATATTTTTTTTATAACATTTTAATCGATTTAAAATTAATGAAAAGACAAATATACCCTTATTTTTAACAAAAAAGTTGACTAAGTTTACGGAAATGACGATTTCTGAAAATAGAAGCATAATTAAAGTACAATTGTAACAATTTAACAATATAATAAACGAAAAATAAAATTTGATCTTAGTCCAAGAACTTCTATAATTTTACCTACTATTCCCTTTTCATGAAAATCTTCCTCCCAGATCTGCCCCCTCAGTCCCTGACCCAGGTATATAAAAACAAACCGCCCACCAAGCCCCACGGTAAGTCTCTCTCTCTCTCTCTCCAATCTCCACCATGGCATCTACCTCTCTCTTGCAATCTCCCAATCTCTTCCTCAAACCCCAAAACCCCAACCCCCCAACCAAACCCCATTTCCCCACCACCACCATCAAATGCTCCTCATCCTCCTCCTCCTCCTCCCCCCCACCACAACCACTCGTTCCAAAGCCTCCTTCTCCTCCTCCTCCCTCCCACCACCCCCACCACAACATTCGCGACGAAGCTCGCCGCCACAACACAACCCACAACCACCATTTCTCCGCCCACTACGTCCCCTTCAACGCCGACCCTTCCTCTGCTGCCGCCGCCGACTCCGAGTCCTACTCCCTCGATGAGATCGTCTACCGATCCAACTCCGGCGGCCTCCTCGACGTCCAGCACGACATGGCCGCCCTCAAGAACTACGACGGAAAGTACTGGCGCGACCTCTTCGACTCCCGCGTCGGCAAGACCACCTGGCCCTACGGTTCCGGCGTCTGGAGCAAGAAGGAGTGGGTCTTACCCGAGATCGACAGCGACGATATCGTCTCCGCCTTCGAAGGTAACTCCAATCTCTTCTGGGCTGAGCGTTATGGCAAACAGTTTCTGGGCATGAACGATTTGTGGGTCAAGCACTGTGGGATTAGCCACACTGGCAGTTTTAAGGACTTGGGCATGACTGTTTTGGTCAGCCAGGTGAACCGGCTGAGGAAAATGAACCGCCCTGTGGTCGGCGTCGGCTGTGCCTCCACCGGAGACACATCTGCCGCCCTATCGGCCTATTGCGCCGCCGCTGGAATCCCCTCGATTGTGTTTTTGCCGGCCAATCGGATTTCGCTGGCTCAGCTGGTTCAGCCGATTGCCAATGGGGCGTTTGTGTTGAGCATTGATACTGATTTTGATGGGTGTATGCAGTTGATTCGGGAAGTCACGTCGGAGCTGCCGATTTATTTGGCCAACTCTTTGAACAGTTTGAGATTAGAGGGTCAGAAAACCGCCGCTATAGAGATTTTGCAGCAGTTTGATTGGGAAGTGCCTGACTGGGTTATAGTTCCTGGGGGCAATTTGGGAAATATATATGCCTTCTATAAAGGGTTTCATATGTGCAAAGAGTTGGGGCTAGTTGATAGGATCCCTAGGCTTGTTTGTGCCCAAGCTGCAAATGCAAACCCATTGTACTTGCATTACAAGTCAGGGTGGGATAAAGAGTTCAAGCCTGTGAAGGCCAACACTACTTTTGCATCCGCCATCCAAATTGGTGACCCCGTTTCGATTGATAGAGCCGTGTATGCACTGAAGAACTCGAATGGGATTGTGGAGGAAGCCACTGAGGAGGAGCTGATGGATGCCATGGCTCAAGCTGACTCCACTGGCATGTTCATATGTCCTCACACTGGTGTGGCATTGACTGCATTGATTAAACTTCGGAACAAAGGGATCATAGGAGTGAACGACCGGACCGTGGTGGTGAGCACGGCTCATGGGTTGAAATTTACGCAGTCGAAGATCGAATATCATTCGAATGATATTAAGGATTTGGCTTGCCGGTTTGCTAACCCGCCGGTGCAAGTGAGGGCGGATTTCGGTTCTGTGATGGATGTTCTGAAGACGTATTTGTTGAGCAAGGCCCCGAAAACTTAGTTAGTTTTGTAAGGGGGGAATTGTGTGTGTGTGTTCTGCTCAGGTGCTGCTTATGTGTACTGTTATGTTCTTGTTATTTGGTTTAAAATTAGGCATCTTCTATGTGTTTTTTGAGCAACTGTTTTAGTTTATAGCACTCAGGAATCAATTCGAATTTCATCAGTTTTCTTGATGGCGAGTTTCTTTAGCTCCCAAGTTTTTACCTTCATTCTCACTTGTTTCACTGTTGCATCACTTGCTTGGTTAATTGTTTGTAAGTAGGTGGAAGTTTCTGGTTTTCTTTTGTCCTATTTGCATTCTGGGTTTTAATTTAATATGATATGATATCTTATGGTTTGTAGTTAATAATGTAATATTCCTTCTATGCTTTTGCAATCTTTAATTCGTTCCCTTAAAGTCGTGGGGGCCCAAGTATTGCTCTTTTAATCGTGACCCTTGAAGAGATTCATCCATCTGTTGTCTCAATGAAGATATGGCCAAGTTTCTTGCCTTGATTGCTCTTGAACTTGATGCTCATGAAGTTTGCTTCACCAACTCTCATGGACAAGTAACTGATTCTGATCACTGACTTGATCTGATTCGATTTTGTTTATTGGGTTTTCTTTTAACTGACAGTTTTATATTCTTTATTTGTAGCAGTACCACCAAAGTGATGTTGTTTTGGATGGTAATGAAGAATTTCTTGTTTTGGTGTTTGATCAAGCACTTGGTGTTGGTGAAGGAGTTTTGGGGATTGGGTTTTCTGCAGTCCTTAATGCGCACTTGAAAGGCTTCTATAAATTGTAAGAAATATTGTATCATTTTGTAGGTAAATCATAAGTTGCAGTTGTGAAAAATTATTTTTCCAAAGGCAATGAAGTACTTTCAGGCGGGCTTTTTGTGGAAGAAGAAATCTGTAGGCTGTCAAGTTACACAAATTCTTCATCCTTACCCGTCTGTTTGGTTGCTAAGATAGAGACAGAATAAAAGAAAAACCTGAATTTAGAATTACCACTTGGCTAAACTTAAAACAAGTGCAAGCTCCTGTAGTTTCGAAGGAAATAGAGGGAAAAAAATTCATTTACCAAAGAAAGTGGGCATTTAATTGTGTTTTATTTGCTTTTGCCCCTTGTAGTTTCTTTGCTACCAAATAAGGTTTTTAATGAAAGCATTTGACAATTTGCACAGCACTTACTTGGATGGAGGAGAGAAAAAGAATATGGCCGTCACTCAATTTGAACCTGTGGATGCAAGGCGATGCTTCCCATGTTGGGATGAACCTGCACTCAAGGTATGCGTAGTCGAGAAGTTCCCGTAATTGTTGAAACTCTTTTCGATGCAACCTCTGTGTTCACTTGCGAAAAAGCCCGGGAAAGTTAAATCTTTTCTCCACCACATTGGTCAAATGGTTGTATAAATGTGTTTTTGGTTGTTCTAGATTTGCTTGAATCTGAGAGTTGCTCATTTCTTCTTTGACATTACTAGTACATTCTTGACAGGCCACCTTCAAGATTGCAGTAGATGTACCATCAGAGCTGACAGCTTTGTCCAATATGCCAATTATCAGTGAAAAGCTTGATGCAAATGTTAAGACTGTTTATTTTGAGGAATCTCCTATTATGTCAACTTATTTAGTAGCTGTTGTTGTTGGCCTATTTGAACATATTGAAGATACAACATCTGATGGTATGTATATAAGTGGGAGACTGTTCGATTATTTAACCGATTCGTCATTAGAGACTACTGAAAAATTTGTTTGCAGGGGTAGGTTTGTGCATATTGCCCTGTTGGGAAGAGTGACAAAGGGGAGTTTGCACCTCCAATCATTTCCCAAATAATTAAAAGTAATCTCTGGAGAACCTGGAGTCATTACCCATGGGGCATGGCTGCCTCTGAAAATAAACAACGTAAATTTACAATCCAAATTATGCATAACTTTCTTTCTGTTCTCTGTTGTGCTAATTCTAACCTGGTTATGGTTTCAACCAGATACTTCTCAACGCCTTACCCACTTCCCAAGCTTGATAATTCTAACCTGGTTGCGGTTCCTGAATTTTCTGGTGGGGCCATGGAGAATTATGGTTTGATCCCTTACCATGAAAATGAAATGCTTTATGATCATTTGCATTCCAAAACAGCAAGGAAGCAAAGAGTATATTTTCAGCTTCGTTACACTTTTGCAGTCATACAATACTGTACATAAATCAGAACATTTGAAGGGGAAGTAGAGCTTTCTTTAGTTTCTCTTGTATAGTTTCTACTCTGAAAAGTCCGGTGATGTATGTTCTATTCTATACCCTTTTTCCTGAATGGAAAATATGGTCTCAATTTCTTCACCAAACTACTGGTGGCCTAGTCAAGGATGCACTGGAACGATCACATCCAATTGAGGTAAAGAACAACAAATACTGTTGCTCACTGTGAAAACTGCTGAAAACAGTACTATTTCGCATAATTTCAGGTGGAGATGCACCCTGCTCGTTCAATTCTTGAGGTTTTCGGTGATATCAGCTACAAAAAGGGATCTGCTGTTATTCGAATGCCGCAGAGTATCTCGGGGATGACATATTCCCAGTACAAAATTGATGTCCATAAGTACCAATGAGTTTAATTTTTCATGCATCACCAACAACTTCAAGTTTTCATAGTGAATATTGTATGTGGAAATACTCTTCTTATCACCAAATGCACTGCTTGAAATTAGCCCCGGCATCTAGGAAATTTTCTGAAATGCCAGGTGCAATCCAATGCCCAGTACTGATCAATTCTTTCTCTCAAAATATAAACATAAACCCTTGAAAACTGCAATTAATGGGTTTTTTTTTCTCATGAAGTGCCAATGTACATAGAGTTCTGAACAAAAAGGTCTGAATGGCAAAGACAAGTTATATTGTTTATTCTGAAGTCATTCTTGTTTTCTCTGTAATGAGTGAAAAATTATTAACATAGTTCAATTTATCTCTTTTAACTGTGCTGCTTCTTATTAAATCAGAAATCGTTAAGTTCCTACATAAAATGATATTCTGGATAAATTTCTGTTGGTGATCATCAATTACACCAACTATTTTTGGTAGCATCACCTTTTGTGTTATATATGCAACAGGTTTGTTATGATGTCCTCAAAATATCAAGTGAGGCCATCCCAGATTCAGCAAATGATTTGAAACATTTTTTCGTCAATCTCCTTCTGTTTCCAGCAGAGTAAGAACAACTCTAATACAGTTTCGATATCGCAATACCTTCCTTGTTAAACTTATTGGTTATATACGTACCCACATACGTGCTAAAATGAACAGTGTTTGTCCTTATGATGTATTCCAGTCTCTTCGAGGTCATGGTCGCCGGTAATGTTCCGGTTTATGTGGCTGATACTTCATTTAGGATCACCAAACAAAACTTTGATGCTACCATACTTGGATGTCATGTCTGAATTTTTTCATGCAGAAAACTAGGTTGGGATTCAATACCTGGAGAGGATCATTTCAGTGCACTTCTGAGAGCAGAAGTCTTGCAGGCCTTGGTTATCTTTGGCCATGATCAAACCCTTGTTGGTAGCACTTGGGAGTGCTTCATGAAGAAGCATATAGCAGGTTCTTATCAAGAAAGCGCTTTTATGACTCATAAGCACTTCTAAACTTTTCTGTCAAATACTGTCAGAAACACTTTTGGTTGTCAAAAAGCGCTTTTAGCCCTTTCAAAAAGCGCTTATATGACTTAGAAGCATTTCTATCTGTCAAACGATGTCAAAGTGCTTTTCGTTATCAAAAAATATTTTTAACCCTTCCAAAAGCACTCCCAAACATGGATTATTATATTTGCATACTTTTGTTCTATTCCAATGATCCAAACAGGAAAAACCCCTCCCCACATAAGGATCAATAGTTTCACTAAAACACCCAAAATGGAGGTTGAAATTATAAAAAAACCCAACACCCAAAACACTTTATAAACACACCCAAAACTCATCATTACACACACTCAAAACCCATTTATAAACACACCCAAAAAGTTGACTTTGGGGTTGATTTTGGGTGTGTTTCTATGTTTAAATAGTGCTTGGGTTTTTTTATAAATACATGTCTAGGATTGGGTTTATTTATAAATTTGTAACCCAAAAAGTTGACTTTGAGGTTGATTTTGGGTGTGTTTCTATGTTTAAATAGTACTTGGGTTTTTTTATAAATACATGTCTAGGATTGAGTTTATTTATAAATTTGTAATATTTATATCTGTCACGTGCCAACAGACCAATTACATCCAAATAAATAAATAAAATAAATAAAAATTGGTACCAAATCTTGAATTCCATTCCCTTACAAATTATGACAATCATGAAATCCCCAATTCCAGCACTCAACACAGACCCTCATTAGATGCATAATGCATTCCCATGATTAGTTAGTTTTGTAATGGGGCCTTGTGAGTGTGTTGTGCTCAAGTGCTGCTCATGTGTACTCTTCTGTTCTTGTTCTTTGGTTTAAAATTAGGCATCTTCTATCTGCTTTCTGAGCAACTGTTTTAGTTTATAGTACTCAGGGATCAATTCTGCTGACGAATTTCTGGTTTTCTTTGTTGTCCTATTTGCTTTCTGGGTTTTAATTTAATGCGCACCCACATATGATATGATATCTTATGGTTCGGAGTTATTCCTTCGATGCTTTTGCAATCTTTAATTCGTTCCCTTAAAGTTGTGGGGTAACCCTTGAAGAGATTCATGCTACTGCCGAAATTGACAGATACAATGGTCCAAATTTCCCACTCTTGAAAATGACGGATATCTATACAAAGAAATAAAAGGATAATATGTAAACTGTCTCGCATGTGGAATTGCCCGCTAGTGTGATGCATCTAATCATAGATTAAATATATTTTTTTAGTAGAAGTGATAGTCTAAATTGCTTAAAAAAATTTACTTATCCAATAATATAATGAAATGTGGAAAAGTTATCTTACATGTCATTGTGTTATTGATCGAAATAACAAAAAGTGATATCCCGTTGCATGAGAGTTTCTCTCCTCAACTACAGGGGAAAGAATCTATAGTTTACAAGTCAATACCTTTTTTCACCAGACTAGAACATGTTTCGCAAATAGATTAAATACTTGATTAAATCTAAAAACGTTTTCCCCCAACCAAAAGCGATTTTCAAATTTCCACTCTCTGCATGAAATGATTATTAACGTCACTTTTTTCCACCATTTATGTCAATGAACGACTCCTTGACAATCCCACAAACGGAAGTCTAAAAGACACAAACAAGATAGGATGCATAGGCATGTCGACTTTTTGAGCAAAAGCACAAGGCTGAAGCATCAGCAGCTAACTGCCATTGCCGCCTGGTCACGATAGAAGCAAAGAAACTTAGAAAGAATCTCTATATTCAATATAAAAACACTTTCTCATCTTTGTAGATCCCAGAGGAATAAATGGAGGATTCCAAAACTTGATTAGGAGACATAGATTCAAGCTTTGAGCGAGCGGTGGTTACAAACGTGTGTTCTGAAGTTTTTCTCCGAAATGGAGCAGAAACAAAGCATAGAGCAATTCAAAGGCCGAGCTCGGCTACCAAATTTTGCAATCCCAAGGCGCTATGATCTTCATCTCAAGCTTGATCTCTCAGCATGCACGTACTCCGGCACCGTGCAGATTAACGTTAGCATTGTTGAAGAGACCAAGTTTCTTGTCTTGAATGCTCTTGAACTTGATGTTCATGAAGTTTGCTTCACCAACTCTCATGGACAAGTAACTGATTCTGATCACTGACTTGATCCGATTCAATTTTGTTTATTGGTTTTCTTTTAACTGACAGTTTTATTCTTTACTTGTAGCAGTACCGCCCAAGTGATGTTGTTTTGGATGGTGATGAAGAATTTCTTGTTTTGGTGTTTGATCAAGCACTTGGTGTTGGTGAAGGAGTTTTGGGAATTGGGTTTACTGCGGTCCTTAATGCACACTTGAAAGGCTTCTATAAATGGTAAGAAAATTTGTATCATTTTGTAGGTAAATCATGAGTTGCAGTTGTGAAAAATTATTTTCCCAAAGGCAATGAAGTACTTTCAGGCGGGCTTTTTGTGGAAGAAGAAATCTGTAGGCTGTCAAGTTACACAAATTCTTCATCCTTACCTGTCTGTTTGGTTGCTAAGATAGAGACAGAATACAAGAAAAAACTGAATTTAGAATTACCACTTAGCTAAACTTAAAACAAATACAAGCTCCTGTAGTTCGGAAGGAAATAGAGGGAAAAAAATTCATTTACCAAAGAAAGTGGGCATTTAATTGTGTTTTATTTGCTTTTGTCCCTTGTAGTTTCTTTGCTACCAAATAAGGTTTTTAATGAAAGCATTTGACAATTTGCACAGCACTTACTTGGATGGAGGAGAGAAAAAGAATATGGCCGTCACTCAATTTGAACCTGTGGATGCAAGGCGATGCTTCCCATGTTGGGATGAACCTGCGCTCAAGGTATGCGTATTTGAGAAGTTCCCGTAATTGTTGAAACTCTTTTCGATGCAATCTCCATGTTCATTTGCTAAAAAGCCCTGGGAAAGTTAAATCTTTTCTCCACCACATTGGTCAAATGGTTGTATAAATGTGTTTTTGGTTGTTCTAGATTTGCTTGAATCTGAGAGTTGCTCATTTCTGCTTTGACATTACTAGTACATTCTTGACAGGCCACCTTCAAGATTGCAGTAGATGTACCATCAGAGCTGACAGCTTTGTCCAATATGCCAATTATCAGTGAAAAGCTTGATGCAAATGTCAAGACTGTTTATTTTGAGGAATCTCCTATTATGTCAACTTATTTAGTAGCTGTTGTTGTTGGCCTATTTGAACATATTGAAGATACAACATCTGATGGTATGTATATAGGTGGGAGACTGTTCGATTATTTAACCGATTCGTCATTAGAGACTACTGAAAAATTTGTTTGCAGGGGTAAAGGTTCGTGCATATTGCCCTGTTGGGAAGAGTGACAAAGGGGAGTTTGCTTTAAATCTTGCTGTTAAGACGCTTGATCTTTTCTCCAACTAATCTACTTCATTCTTAGATGGGGGAATTTTTAAGTTTATGTATTTCGATTCTTTGTTTATACAGAATGACATTAGATCCAGGACTCTGTAGTCTAACAAACATTCCCAGAATCCCATGATTTTTGGCCTTCCCTTTTGTTCAAGGGGAGGTAAACTTTTAACTAATATTCCCCCATATATCTTCCTAACTATACCACTGAACCCAAGCTAAGTATCAATGCAAAATACGGGAACAGCTTGAATTTCTTCCCTGCACCCTTTGCGGTTTCCAGTTTCCACCCCCAATCATTTCCCAAATAATTAAAAGTAATCTCTGGAGAACCTGGAGTCATTACCCATGGGCCATGGCTACCCCTGAAAAGAAACAACATAAATTTACAATCCAAATTATACATAACTTTCTTTCTGTTCTCTGTTGTGCTAATACTAACATGGTTATGGTTTCATCCAGATACTTCTCAACGCCTTTCTCACTTCCCAAACTTGATATGGTTGCGGTTCCTGAATTTTCTGGTGGGGCCATGGAGAATTATGGTTTGATCACATACCGGGAAAATGAAATGCTTTATGATCATTTGCATTCCACAACAGCAAGGAAGCAAAGAGTATATTTTCAGCTTTGTTACACTTTTGCAGTCATACAATACTCTACATAAATTAGAACATTTGAAGGGGAAGTAGAGCTTTCTTTAGTTTCTCTTGTATAGTTTCCACTCTGAAAAGTCCAGTGATGTATGTTCTATTCTATACCCCTTT